TTATCAATTGAAATGATTGATTTTTTTTATTATAACTTTTGAATTTTTTTTTTTGTATGAATATTTTCTTGTATTATATATAGTAATTGTAAGTATTGAGTTTGCAAATATATATGGTTGAAACTTTTAAATAATCATTTGCTTAATTTAATATTATAACTACCATGGTATTTATAAAATATAATACTATCTTACTAATTAGAAAAAAAAAAAAAACTATTTGTACATATATAAAATATCAGACAAATTGTTGACGAAATATGGACCATAGAACAGTCTTAAAAAAATCATCACGTGGCGGCTAAAATGAAATCTGGAGCTGGAGGGCACTTTCCTGAATATCAGAATTTTGACAAGTAAATAAATAACTTTTGGTAGTTTGGCTCCATCTGGCAAGACTTCGGCATGTTGCGGTGCACTCGCATCGCATGCAAATGCAATGTGTTCAACTCATTGAAAGCCAAGATAATTCGGTGGTATGGTATTCTATTGAGAATTGAAAATTAAATGTTAAAAATTTAAAAATAAAAATATTTAATAGATGTACGAGTACGAAATAATCTCCTCGTATAATTCTGTTGATCAAGTTTACACTCCTTCAAACTTTCAAACGTCGTCGTTTTACTTCTTGAAAATACAAACGTGAGCTAGCCAGCGGGTGTGTGCCGGATACCTCTCCGATACCCAAGTCAGCCAATAGACAATAGATAAAATGCTCTGTGTTTTTTAGAGTAGAAATTGTGATACCTATACATAGGTCTTGTCATGAATTTTTATAGATTTCGTTTGGCACACTTTAACTCTTCCTAGTAGATTTCTCTTAGGAATTACTAAAATAATGCTTATCTTTTTACACCCTCATCACTGCTTAACCAAGTGAGATGGTTCAATCACGGTCTGGTAGCAGCACAATCGAGCTAGCACTACCTTGCCTTGCACCAGTTTTAACCACGCTCACTTAGCTCGGTGCTATACCAGGCATCGTCTAGCTCGGTCCTACGTTCACTTATACCTCGGTTCAAAGTTCTCAGACCAGGCTACTAACAGCCATCTCTGACCAAGCTAACAGGACCAAAGACAAAGCTATGTAAACCATTACCTCGGCCCATAGCTTGGTCCATTTCACCTTCTGGACCTAGTTCGGCCCTAATTCACATAAATTACCCTCTCAATAGAAAATTAATTATCTAATTAAAATAATTTATTTGATATGCAAAATACATTTATATTTTTTTTATATTCTTTGTTTTGAAAATTATCAAAATCATTAGAGAGACATTTGCCTTTCAAATGACACAATTAACTTATGTAGTTAATTTTCGAAATAAACAGTTGTGATGATAGTGTAATGGTGATGGTTGTAACAGTGGTGGCAGTGATCGTAGTGGTAATGAAATGATGTAGTACTTGTGATAATAATGATAATTCTAGTGGAGGTGGCGATACAATGATATTGGTGACAGTGAACTTGTAACCACAGAAGCAATGATGGCAGAAGTGAAGGGGACAGTGTAGTGGTAATGGTAGCAATTGTATTAGTAATGATGGTAGTAGTAGTTGTGATAGAGACGGGGCTAGGGTGATAGCGGTGACAGTAATAATGATAACAACTATAATTGTGATAGTAGTAATGGTAAAAATTATAAGAATTTTATTATCTACGTGCATAAATTTTAATATATAATTTTTATAATCATATTTTTGTGAATGTATAAACGGTATCATGTTGAAGTTTTGCTTATTGAATTGGACGTATGTTTTGTAATCTAATCCCCAAACTTTCAAATTGATTAAGTTTGTGGTGTCTAATATACAAATTAATATATAAAGTTTAATTCAAATTGTTGGGTCAATCCCATATCGATTAGGGAGGGACTCTTACTTCCACCTTATAAACGCACTGACCATTTCCATCTATCAATGGACTTTTTTCGTAGAGGAGGAACAAAACCGTGAGATTTCGACCCAAGCGGACAATATATTGACGGGACGCGAGGGAACATGCGTTGCAAAATTTGGCGCTAGAAGGAGGGTTGTCCAGCAAACTCTTCCGTTGTTGCAGCCCAATCCACTGGGGGTTTATGTCGGGTCAATCCCACATTGACTAGGGAGGGATTCTCACTTCCACCTTATAAGCATACTGGTCCCATCCACCTATCAATAGGCCTTTTCCCTTGAGGAGGAACAAAATTGTGAGGCTCTACCCAAAGTAGACAATATATTGAGGGGGTGAGAGAGGACAGACGTCGCGAAATTTGGTGCTAGAATGCGAGCTGTTGGGCAAACTCTCCCGCTATTACGGCCCAGTCCGTTGGGGGGTTATGTTAGGTCAATCCCACATCGACCAGAGAGGGACTCCCACTTCTACCGCTACTACGGCCTAGTCCGTTGGGGGGTTATGTTAGGTCAATCCCACATCGACCAGAGAGGGACTCCCACTTCTACCTTATAAGCACACTGACCCCTTCCACCTGTCAATAGAGCTACGAAAACTGTGAGGCACCCCGTCAATATATTGTTCGCTTTGGCCGGAGCCTCGCGGTTTTGTTCCTCATCGGGAAAAAATGCCTATTGACAGGTAGAGAAGGTCAGTGCGCTTATAAGGTGGAAGTGGGAGTCCCTCCCTGGTTGATGTGGGATTGACCCAAGATAACCCCCTAGCGGGAGAGTTTGCCCGACAACCCTCCTTGTAGTGCCAAATTTCACAACGCTTGTTCTTTCACGCCCCGTCAATATATTGTCCGCTTTGACTGGAGCCTCACGGTTCTCACGGTTTTGTTCCTTCTTAAAGGAAAATGCCTATTGATAAGTGGAGGAGCTTAGTGCGTTTATAAGGTAGAAGTGGGAGTCCCTCCCTAATCGATGTGGGATTGACCCAACACAAATAATGGAACACAAACATAACTTTAAATAAATGTAGTTTAATATTTTAAAAACAAATAAACAAAATAATATATTTATAAATATTAAATTAATCTAATTTGTTATAAATAAACTACATATAGGAATGGCAACGGGCCGGGCCGGGGCTGAGGACTACACTCCCCATCGTCGATCTCCAAAGGTTAAAAAATTCCCGCCCCCGCCCCAAACCCTGATCCCATGGCGGGAGAACCCATCACCCCCCACTCCCGTCCCCTAAAGGGGATCGAATTTCCCTGACCTCGTAAAATTTCCAAACTTTATTATTATTATTTTTTTGAATTTTATTCAACACAAGATCAACAAATCAATATATACAAATGATTTCCATCGTTTGAAATCGTAATAAACATTAGTCATGTCTCATAATTGAAAGTAGCAATCTGTGTTCATGTTGAAAAAAATAAAAGATAAATAAAAAAAATAAAAAGATAAATAAAGATAAATTTGATAGTGATTCAAACCTATATCTCACCCAACCATACATGGCTTAAGGAAGACGTGATAAATATCTGGTGGGCAAGTGTCATATACTCATTTTTTAGAATTTTTCTTATATTTGGTGTGTCTGTGTAGTCAATCATAAAACAAGTTGCTAGAGAGTTGAGTCTATCCAATCAAACTATTAATATTTTTTTAAATTTTGTATAAAGCCCATCTATCAATCTATTATGAATAATCGAATAACAACCCCTCTCATTAGGTTTTAATAAAAAAAAAAAAAAAAAAAATTAGGTTAGAATTTGACTTAACAAAATTTCACATCCGACCAATTGGCGGCAAATTTTCGTCCTTACGCTAAAATCATGTTCCTTCCTCTATGAAATCACTGAGTCCTCTTTCCGTTTTTATTTTGGGTTAAAAAAATATAAAAAGATAAAATAGATTGTATAAGTTAATAAAATAAAATGTCACATTTAAATTAAAATTATTATATTTTTTTCTCATTAAAAAATAAAAACTAAAAGAGCCTAAAAAAAGTCACAACATAAAAAAATTGACTACCATAACTAATGTCAAACGAAACGTAAGACTGCTATGGCAATCCACAGTTGGTGAGAATTATTTTAGATTTTATTTGAATTGGCCAATGCTGTCTATTTTGTTATAATGTCCTTCTCAAATCATGTCATCTTAATTTTAACACTGTTTAAATTTTGAATTTGAGTTCAATAAAAAAAAAATTGAATTTGAGTAACAATTTGTAAATATATTTAGGATAAATTACAAATACACATTTTAAAATTTGTTTAAAATATAGATTGTCTCATATAATTCTGAAAATTACGTCGTGTCTCTTCAGGTTTCTAATCATATAACAAATGACCCATTTTAATAATAAATTATCAATTCAATTAAGAATTTTTAATGATATCAGAAATATATTTCAATTAACAATTGGGGTAATTTTATTTTTGTATAAAAGAGTACTTACAAATTTTATTTTTCCTGTTCTGTGAAATAATTTTTTTTTACAAGGGAGCATTTTTAATTTTCAAAATTATAAGGAACAATCCGTATTTTAATCAAATCTCAAGAATGTATTTATAATTTATCATATATAAGATAAATTAGAATTGAGAAAATTATATTTAAAAAATTAATTTATATTTTATTCACATTTCTGTTTTCTTTTTATTTCCATTCACAAATCTCTATCTAAATTCAAAATATAAACACAATTAAAAAAATCAATCGCATAGCAAGTTCAACTGTTATGAGCACTTTAGAAAGTATAGATCACGAGCACGAATTTCATGAGGTGTTTCACTACCTTAAAGCCACGTTAGGACTTGTTTGTACCTAGCTAATAATTATTTAACATATGTAGGATGGAGTAACGACTTGTACTCGGGAACTAATCGTGGCAAATCCAAATCATTATAGGGTAAAACGTTACTTTTCCCCCCTTTTTTTTTATTTTTTTATTTTGCTATTATAGTAGGTTTACTGTTGCTTATAGGTGAAGAATTGTATTAGTAAACTTTAATTGACCAGTAAACTAAACATAAATTAGATTTAAAGAAATAAGTTCATTTGAATATTTGATTGCTTTCATGTGATTTCAGTGTTTACTGTTAACCAAACTAGACAAATTCAAAACTAATGTTCATTTGACAATAACAACCCAAGATTGAATCAGTCAATCTGCCAATTTATCTAGAAATCTGACTGTCACCCTCTTCTCCAGACGTACCAATCTTTTCCCAGAGCTGTCTATTATAAATTCTTATGACTAGTTTGGCAGTTTATTCTAAACTGAAAGATAATAATCTATAAACAGAATCTAAATGCACTCCTTCCACAACTTTAGAATAATCAATTTTTATTTTAAGCTAATTTTAAAACTACAACAAACAATCTGGTAATTCCCGGTGTAAAATAAATTGATAGAGAGAGAGAGCAAGTGAATAAATGTGTATATTGAATTTGTTGTGTGTTATTACAAAGGGAGCTTAGCTCTCTATTTATAGTCTGATATTGCGAGGCATGCCATGCGAGACGCGAGGCACCGAAAGGCAAGGCTAAAGCTTTAGCCGAAAGTGAACAAACATAATGATAACAATGAACGGATACAATGCTAATAAACAATACTAAAGTAATGCTATAAACAATGCTATATTATATACAAAGTATAATAATATACTAACATCCCCCCGCAAACTCAAGGAGGGAAAGCATCAACCAAGTTGAGTTTGGAAACAAGATCAGTGAAGCGGCCAGGAGGATGAGCTTTAGTGAAGATATCAGCGGGTTGATCGACAGAAGCAATAGGGAGAAGATGGACAGTACCACAGGTAACATGCTGGCGAATGAAATGACAATCAATCTCAATATGTTTGGAATCACAGGTCGAACTATCAATGGGATCCTTACTACATGTAAACCATCTTCCCAATACAGATTTCCAAATGTATATCTTCCTTGAACTCTTAGTTGGGAGCAAAATGTTACCTTGAACTTGAGCATCTTAGTTGTAAAATTGAAAAACAAAATCGAGGGCTCAACTGTCACATTTATGCCCGGGGGAGCTTCAACGCGAGCAACATAAAAAGATAATATCGGACCAACGTTTGTGACTGTCCTTGACACTGTCACAGTATGCTTCAGCTCTGGAATAGAGATAGATGGCAGATTAAGGTTTAAAAGGAAGTTCGGTGTTCGTTGGCACGGGCTGCTGTCCCTGGTTATTGAGCTGATGGCAGTGTCATTATAGCCCATGGAGCAAAGAAATTTGACATAGTCGGTGACTTTCATGTCATATATGAGACCGGGATTTATGGCTTTGTTAGGATCAACATGACCGCCTCCATAGTCGAATGGGTCAGCCAGCTTGTGAGGAGCGCCCTCAGCCACCGAGATTTGACCATATTCATCCTTTGTAGAGGCTGTGCAAGAGAGACCCAAAAAAAAAGAAGCTTATTTCTGCCTCACATCAGGCATTAAAGGGAATAAAGAACATTTTAACACGTCTATTTTATGCTAAATTCAATTAATCAAAGAGCCTCACAAGCAATGTATTCCATCCTCAATAATGGAGTGAAAAGATTGGATGTGTTTCGTTTCGTAAATGATGTGCATTTCACATGTCTTGCGGTTTATTTAGGTGAAAAATGGGATAAATTCTTTTCTAACTTTTTATATGAGGCTGATGTACGGATTTTTTATTTTTATTTTATGTTTTTAGGACGACGGTTAGGGTAGGGGACTATATTGAATTAATGTATGAAGTTGAGGAATGCAATTGAAACAAATTAAAGATTAGGGACTACAATGACCTAAGTAGTATACTTTAGGAACCGTTTTGTAACTTATTCAACAGCTAAAATGCCATTTTTAAGTTATGTAGCTTTCACCTGTTGTGATCAGCGCAGATTTAATTGCAGCAGGGCTCCATGTGGGATGGATAGTTTTGAGAAGAGCTACAATGCCAGATACATGAGGACACGCCATGGAAGTTCCTGATTCAAGTTTGAACTTGAGTGGGAGTTGATTTTGAGTATTATCGAGTAGGAAGGATGAAGAAGCAGGGGACCAGGAGGCCAAGATGTTAACCCCGGGCGCAGCGATATCAGGCTGCAAATAACATTTTAAGATATATCAACTTCATCCTTCAGAAACAATGATATGTTCCAATAAAAAGATTGTGATTTTACCTTTAAGACAGTTGGAGAGAGTGAACTGGGTCCTCGGGACGAGAAGAATGCCACTTCAGGGGAAATTTGTTGACCCACAGCTGTCCTTGAAGGGTTAAACTTCACAACAGGATTACTGTAAAATGCACAAACTATGTACTGTTCATAAATGGAAGGCATTTGAATCCAACAATCCAATGTTCACAACCATAACCCAGATGGGAGACAAACTAACATGGCCATAGAATGTTTTGGGGCAAATGATCTGGACAAATTGGTGTGTTTGATAACCCGGATAAGGGGGAAGGGCTTAGGATAAAAAATAACAAGTTCCCCTTTCTCTCCCTTATCCATTGTTTAGTGTAACATGGCTTATCCCTGGTTAAAACTCTTTATCCCTCATATGGTGTATTAAATAGGGTGTTATTTTACCCAACCCCTCATTGGATTAGTTAATCCATACCCTCTTGATTATCCAACTGTCAAACAATCCTATGGTATCCAATTTGTTCAAATCAATCCGGAAATCAAATGTGTTTTCAAAGTACATGGAGATGACAAAATTGTCCATTCCAAACTCCAATCCATACTTCTGCATAGCTGGAAACTATAAATGCAGTAAATCAATGAAGATTACCTTGTTGATTCCATGTATGTCAACAGATAAGTTCCTATTGTGAAGTCCACTTGGACACATGGGATGCCCAGGAATAAGGTAACATCCTTCGTTGGAAACTGGGCAAAGATGACTCCAACACCCTCAATATCCAGCACTGCTCTTGCAGCATAGGCTGCAGACCTTTGTGGCTGAGATTGGAAACAAAGAACCACCTTTCCTCTCGCTAAAGTAGCATTGAGCGATCCATAATCACAACTTCTGCTTTAAATCATCAAGAATAAATTTTTATTTTGTTTTTGAAAGAGAGAGATCATACGGATTCATGCTGAAATAAGGCAAAAACATACCTTGCACTATCTTCATCTGCATCAACAGCTGCTATGTCTTCCCCATTCACAATAGGATAGAACTTGTTCACATCCTTCCCTGTATATGAAGCTTGACCCTGTGCAACAGAAAAATGAATTTGGAAGTAAATACAGTATTAACAAACAACTAGTTGTTAACTCAAATCAAACAACCTAAAACACGAGGAGGGACATATGTCAGATGGGGTGGGTCATATTTATAGATACACCAGAATTATGATCGCTCAACCCCAAATTTGATTTAACCATAATGATCCCATTCTCAAACTAAGAGATTGAATTCTTCCCATCTCCTCCCAAACCCCATAAATCTTGTTGCATCTGCACCGTAGCTTTAAATAATAGTATCAAGATACATATATATTGGTGAATATCAGTATCGGAAATACAGATTCCTGATACATATCAATTAACTCAGGGTATTTGGACTCATAGAAAATGCAAATGTTAATATGAACTTAGAACAAGCATTTAGATGCAAAGAAAATAAGTACCACAACAGTTTGATTGTTCCCGAGGATAATCATGGTTGGAAAAGCTCTATCGATTGTGTTTGCTGCCACGGTTATTGTCCAAGGTGCAGTATTTGTTACTGTTTGAGGATAAGGACCAGAATTCCCAGCAGAGCAGACAACAGAAATTCCTTCGGCCGCAGCATGGAAGGAACCAATAGACAAAACATCTTCCACATAACTGGCAAGTGGAGGGTACGAACCTAGGGATACCGAAAGCACATTCACACCATCAAAAATTGCATCGTCAAATGCAGCTAGAAGGTCAGCTGAGCTACAGCCACCAGTAGACCAACAAACTTTGTAGATAGCTAGCCAAGCTGATGGAGCTCCTCCTCTTGCCACTCCTTGAGCAAGTCCCACAAAGCTTGCGTTTTCTACTAAAGCCCCGGCTGCGGTAGATGCAGTGTGAGTGCCATGGCCCGATGCATCCCGTGGAGATAAGAATTCGACTTTGTCACTCGTATTCAACTTTCCAAATTCAGCCTCATACCCCTTCACGTACCAACGTGCACCAATGATTTTCCTGCCAAGTGTATTTTCACACTCACCATTGTTAAAGGCTACTTAACCAGCAATACTCAGATAATTAGAAAATAATGAATATGAAACTGAGAAATTAATGAAAGGGAACATTTTACCTACTAAAAAAAATGAAAGGGAATATGGAGGGATCACACAAGTTTCCATCATAAACTAGGGGATTTCCTTCTTTTCTCCTCTTTTTTTTTGGGGGCGGGTCAATTTTCTATACTAAAAATAAAAGAAATGAAGAATTTAAAAAAATAATAATAATTTAAGGGCCTTTCCTACATTTCAGTTCTTAAAGTACAAAAGCAATAGTCAGATGGCTATTTGTTCAAATTACAAGGAATTACATTCTCCTGGTCAGTCCAAATACTGAAAGAATCTGTTTTTAACACCTGATTATAATGCGAAATTGTTTGATTAAAATGCATGACCTCCCAAGTTGACATAACAAATTTGTGGGGGAGGAAGATCAAAATTAGAGATTGATAGAAAAGCAAGGATATGGGCTTGCGTGAGTAGGAAACAAAAAATATCTGTTCTAGTTCTATCATCAGCACTAGGTTCGAAATTCGAGTCTTAAAGAAATTCTAGAGAATGTTTCCTATCCTGAAATTTGTCTTTTCCTGAATGATAAGGAGCAAAAAGAAACTGGGTCAAAAGAAAATGACATTTTGGAGTCTTATCAACAATTTATCTGTGTGGGCAAGGGCCACGACATAAAATGTAGAATTTCTTTCTATCTTTTACGTAATCTTTAAAGAGATGTAAATAACATATCGGAGGAAATCCTTTATTTTGGAGGAGAGCATATGCATGAAAATAAAAAATGAAGCAAACAAACCTATTACAATTGGAACTATTGAATTCTTCTCCTTCCTGGCATATCCCTCTCCAATGATCCGGAACCTTTCCCATCCCCACATCTGTAAAGCTTTCAGATTCAGGCCAAATTCCTGCAAAATAATAATAAAAACCACGATTGAGCCAAATACCCAAAACCAACAAACATCAACTACATCACCATACCAACCAGTGTCCATAACGCCAATAATACACCCAACGCCTGATTGACTCCTCGAAAGGATTCCATTTACCACATGAGGCCTTACTTGCAAAAAATCCCAACTTCTAGTGGTTTGCAGACTAAGAATTCTATTGGGAACTACATGAACAACCCCAGGAAAATCTGCATTTGCCAAATAGCAATTGATATTAACTATTAGCAAGACTAAGAATTATTAAGTAAACAGAGTTATCAGTTCACCAACGTTAAAACACCTGCAGTAAGTGCAGCTTGATGGGGAGTTAATACCGCAGCAAACCCTGAAAACCCATGCTTGTAGCTGTACAAAATTGATTCCATGGCAGCTTCTCGGCTGCCAAGCAAAAACCCCACGCTATTACTTTCTTTTCTCACAAGAAGAATTCCAATTAATTAAAATAACACAGTTATAGTAAGTAAGCTAATTTCTCTGCAGATTGATGAGAAAGTTTATCAGTCTTTGTTTCTTTGGGACTTAAACAAACTCAAATAACCCAGCATCAATTGTTTGTCATATCTTAGTTGAGATGAGTTTTCATTTTCTTTTCTTTTCTTTGTTATGACAGAGAACCCCAACCCATGCATCATGTCATCCACTACAAGACCTTATGAATAAGCTCTGAATGCATGAAATCACCCACAAATCACATGTATCGATCTAGTCTTTGCACTCAAGAAAATCGAACACGAGACCTCCAAGAATTACCTTTTTTGAACTCTCATGTTGTTTCCATCTTCTTTCAGTAAACAGAAATTCAATTAAATTTAAAATTGAAATTTTGTTTTCCTTATTTTTTAGTTTTCTCAGCACAAAAATTATGGGCAAAACTAATGAAAGAACATCTTCAAAATTAGTCACCTTTTTCCGAAGCCGCAATTATACGAACAGTTGGTGAACCAAATATAAAATCCAAGTATATATACATATTTTATATGTGTATTTGAGCGGAAACAGATAGAGAATTGATGAATTACCTTCCAAGAATATCTGAAAGAATCTCATGGTGTGAATCTGTAACGAGTTCAGTCTCATCATGTTGTCTCTCTCCCATGTAGACAATATGAACCTGAAATTGAAAACAGAGTAAAAAAAAGAACAGAAAATGAAATAATATGTAATTTCCAAAACCCATTTGTTACATTGCTTGAAACGACAGCAAGGACAATGCATTGTTGTTGAAGAAGAAGAACAAGAGCTATGGCTATGGCTAAGGCTATGGCATGGATATTCCAAGAAACAGCCATGAGAGAGAGACCTGAAAATTCAGAAGAGCACACAGAGGAAAAGCATTTAGATAAAAGGCAAGTGAAGAGTCCACTCAGAAAGACAAAGTGAGAGAAGGTCCACAATGGAGTCTCTGCATTATCTGCTAGTGTTTCTACTATTGATGAATAGGCTTGCCATGGATTTTGGCACACAGTACTCTGTTCTGTTTCACTGCTTTTGTTTTGTGAGTGGGTGTCAGTGGTTGGTAGGGTGAGCAACCGATATGTGGATCCTTTTAAAACGATTGAACCGAATGGATCCGTCTATGCATAATAATAAGATAGTTACATCCGTCTATGCATAATAATAAGTACAGATTGATTTTTTTTTAGTATGTCTAGTCTTGGACGGATGGCGAATTTGATATTTTTTTAATTGTAATTAAACCATCAAATCGTAAATACTCTTAATAATTTGTAAGATTTTATGTTTTTAATTTATTTAAATATTTTATTTGTCTTTTCAATTGAAAAATAGTTTAAATATTTTGTTGAATATATTGGGTTGAAAAAGAGTTTTCAACTTAAATATATTTTTGAATTGAAAAAAATAAATGTATTATTTATTTATATTTTTTGATTTTTAAATCTAATTCTAAAAATAATAAATAAAAAAAGATAATATATGCTGGTTGATTTTTGTTTTCAAAAATAGATATAGCCTCCGTTTGAGAAGTGGGTTGACTTTTTTGACTATTTTAGCCTGGGCTAAAAATCTTGGTTTAGGAAAGACTTTTTGACTTTTTTGACTTTTTTTTTTGTGAGAGAAGAGTGTAATGATTATGAGTTTGATGTGATATTTTGTTTGTTGTGGCTAAAATAACCTGTTTTGTCTTTTGTGGCTAAAATAGCCACAAAAGCCCTTGTCAAACGGAATAGATGTAATAATATAGAGGCATACAATCTCTACTACTGATATGTTCATGATTTTGGTGGTTTGAATTGTTTTTTATATTTTAAGAATCACAAATTATAAGTTTTGATGGTTTGAATTGTTTTTATATTTCAAGAACCACATATTGTAATATTTTATGTGGATGAGACATGCAGTGATTGTAATATGTGAATGAGGTATGCATGGATTGTAATACTCTTTTAAGTCATTAACTGTAATACCTTTTTTCTTCTTTTCTTTTTTTTGTTTGAAGAAGTGCACAATTTGAATTATGTTAAAAATTTATAAAATTTTAAATCGCCAAACCGATTCGTATCCATCCGTCAATTTGCTCAATCCACATTCATCGGATTGGCGGACGGATGCAGATTGATTTTCTCTAATCCGCTAATCTAGCAGACGAATGGTAGATTGGAAGCTCCATGACTGCAACCGACCCGCGCGCCACTCCTACTGGTTGGTATAGGTTCCTTCATATCTCTTCGTACTCATTTTGTAATTTTTAATTTGGATTTATATTGATTATTTGAATAGTTCGTTTTTGTTTGGGAACAAATTTTTTTAGTAATTTTTTTTTATTTTTTACCTAAAATATGATGTAAAAAAATTAGTATATTTGGGATGAATTTTTAATTTTTTACGAAAAGATGTGTAAAAAATAGAGAGAAAATTGAATATTTGACTTTTTGGTATAGGTTGTTGGCTTTTTGATTTTTTTAGTGACTTTTTAATTTTTAAACTAAAAAGTGATGTTGCCAAACGAGACCTTAGTAAGTCTTATAATAAAATTCGTAAATCATAATTTATTTTATAAAATAAATGGTAAATATAATTAGATTTTAATTACTTATTTTATAAAAATAAAATAGGATTTATTTCTATATTTATAGTTGTCTGATAAATTTAATTTTCTACATTCATTACAGGACTTACCATATAAACGATTTGAATTATCAATACGGGTACGAATTAAAACTTATAAAAAGAATATGAAAAGGTATAAAGAAATCAAATATAAAAGAGAATTTAAGATGTATTTGTTTGGACGGGCTAGATAAGAGATAATTGTAATATACCGGATTGTTAGTCCTGGATACATTGTTCCCGAACTATTTAGTTGAAATAAATTTGTATCATATATTTGTTTAGTCATGAGATTAGATATTTGGTTTGAACTATTCATATAAATCCGATATGTGTCCTATTTTATTTAATTTTTTTTACTAAAAAATTCTAAAAAAATAAATAAATAAAATATCAATAAAAATTATATAAATTTATTTTAATTTTTAGTTGAGATTTTTTAATTTTATTTTAATTTGAACTTTTAAATAAATTCAACTTTTAAATTTATTCTTAATTAAATAAATTGAACTTTAAATTTTATTTTTAATTTACTAAAATAATGTAAATTTTATTTTTTATTTTAATCTTATTTTAGTTGAAATTTTAATTTTACATCAATAAGTCTGGAATAACCTCAGTCTTAAGCTTGTTAACTTTCTATCGCACACTCGTGAGATAAAATTGTCCCACATATAAAAAATTATTAACCTAGATAAATTCACAATCCGATATAAAATTTCTGAACCAAACAATCAAGTCACATCTCATTCTTTTATGGATAATGTTAAAAGTATTAAATTTTTTACTAAATAAATAATCAAATATCCCATATAAATTGAGATTTGTAATTTTATAGATTTTATGGCATCATTTGGGAAGTGGATTGGTTTTTTGACTTTTTTAGCTATTTTAGCTTGGGGCTAAAAAGCCTGGTTTGAAAGGACTTTTGACTTTTTTAGTGCTCGTTTGACAATGACTTTTTTAATTGATTTTTTGACTTTTTTAGTTTGAGACTTTTTTAATCGTTTGATATTCTTGTTTGGTTTTTTAACTTTGGAATGGTGTATTTATTTTTTATCTTTTTGTTTATTTTATCATTTTGTGATTTTTTGACATTTTTTTGTCCTTTTGTGCTTTTTTAGTCCAAAATGTTTACCAAACATTTTTTAGTTTTTTTGTGATAGAAAGAATATAATGATTATGGGTTTGATGTGATATTTTGTTTTACTAAGCTAAAAAGTTTATTTTATTTTTTATGACTATTTTAGCTAAAAAAAACCCAAAACCTACTTCCCAAACATAGGCTATGGCGGTGTTTGGGGGAAAAAAATTTGGTTTTTTATTTTTTTATTTTTTCACTAAAAGAAAGAGTTTTTGCAAAATAAAAAAAAAAACAAATTCAAATAAAATATCACATCCAATCCCATAATCATTTCACTTTTTTTCTCACAAACATCACATCTAATAACAAAAAAATCCAACTATTTTTTCAAACATAAAAAAAATTTCTTCAATAATATTCTATAATTAAAAAAATTACTATAAAAATTTACTTTTCAAACGCCTACTAAGGTCAAGTTTGACATAATCTAAATAATACAAAAAGTCAAAAAGTTACTATTATATTTAAGTCACATTATCTTATTTAAATTATATCACCTCTTTAACACATCACATCAAACTCAATTCAAATCCAACCTATATAAATTAATAAATCAAAAAATATATTTTTTTAAAACATTCTAAATTAATCTTAACTATATCTTATGAAATATTTAATAATTTATTTAATAAAAAATATAATATCTCAAACATTACCCTAACCAAGGAGCTTGGAGCATCATCATTTGCACAGCTGCTTTCTTGCCAAGTTGCCAGTATCAAATATCGCGTTGCCTATAAAGTTTTTTTGGGGAAGGAGTTTGGGATATTTGTGTTTTCAAATTTTGTTTTTCATTCTGTTTCTTTTTATTTTAGTGTCTTTTATGCTTCTGCTACCAATTTTGGAACGTCTCCAATGTGGTAGTGTGGCTGGTTGTTCCATGTTGTTTCATGTTTCGATTGTATTGATGAATTACTTTGATGTAATAACCCATTGTTCATTACAATGGGATTGTTTGGGATTTATTTTATTTTTTAGTTTTTAAATTATTTTAGTTTTGAGTTAAAATATTTTATTTGAGATAAATTTTTTAATTCTTTTTAAAAAAATGATGCAGACCACTAATTAATGGTTGTTCTAATGATGTGACAGTGAATCCCACTCGCTGTCACATATTTTGTGTCTTACTAATTTTAATGATTGAAGTTATAAGTTTTTTTATTAATTTATAATTTTTTATTTTATTTTACCATTAATTAGCAATTTCTCTTTAAAAAAGAATAGTAAACTTGGTTAAATCATATCAAATCGTACTATATATTTGGTTTTCTTAATTCACGATTTAATTTTGATTCTTGAAAAATGTGAATTGTAATTTAACGTGCAGTCCGTAATATTTTTCAATTTTTTTAGTTGCATAAAAATCAATCATAATAATCTTATAATTTACTGTTCAATTCAATATATAATTTTTTTCCTTTTATTTTTACTTATACAAAAATTAATCATAGAATCAAACATGATACACTTATGAGTATCAACCAATCAAAAGATAATATGTACCTTATGTGAGAATGTTGTGTTAATTGTGTTTTTAGATTTTATTTTTTATTTTTTTTGGCATGTTTATGAGCACAGTAATTCCTCAGGGTGTTGTTTGTTGCAATTTTAAATGGATTGTTCTTGATTTTTTTTTTACTATTTTATTTTGAGATTCTATGATAGTTGGTTATAGTTTAAGTTTACAATATGCAAATAAAAGTAGTTTAAATAAACTTTAAATAAATTAAAAAATAAAAAATATATGTGAATTTCTTTGGCTCCAGTTTTAAAATTAGTTTTTTTCTTTTATTTCTGTCATTAGTTAACTTTATTTTCTAAATCAAAATTCTTTAGTTTTCAGGTTTGTTTAGACTAGATGATTATAAAAAATTAAAATTTTTCACTACAAAGTTTTTGTCCCTCCTAAAAAATCTGAAATTAGTTTATTTCGTCTTTAATAATAAAAATTTAAAATAATTTTTCACGATTGTCCTCAATGGAATTAAGTGTGAAATTAACCCACCACTTTTAGCTAAGTGCCTTTGTACATTGAGCAAGTACAAATTATTTAGCTAGTGGAGAAGGCATCTTTTTCTTCGGGGGTGATCGAAGTTTGACTCTTGGGGGAAGCGAATTTCTAGTTTTTTCAGTGGCTCACTTCAGTGACCTCGCTCTGTACTCCGATCGAAATCTGAGGTGGGTCCCTTCCTATGAGTTGGGTTAAATCAGGAACCTAAGTCCACGGATGCCGTGATGATACCTCAGAACATCCTTTTCCTTGTTAAAAAAAAAAAAATACAAATTATTTAATTTTCTTCATCCAACTTGAGCTAGGTGTGGATTAATTGAAGCATACTTAAGGCA